TCAGATTAGGTTATTGTAATAAATAATATTATAAAAAAAAAAAAACAGTTTTAAAAACAACAGAAAAGTCAAACTGTCAAAAATTCAGTAGAATTATTGCTTTAAAAAGTAAATACTCAACTGCATGATTCAAATTTTCCATATCTTCTGAAATATATCGGCATATTCAAAAACCATGTGAGAATCAATAACTGCCGAAATATAACTTCGATTTACGATACGATCAGCGTAAATTGAGAGCATCGAAAAGTGATTATCTAAATGCACGAGTCAAACCATTACATGTAAATTTCGGCACAAAAGTAAAGTAAAGAAAAAAAGAAAACAAAATGTTTTTACTNTAAATTGAGAGCATCGAAAAGTGATTATCTAAATGCATGCCATTACATGTAAATTTCGGCACAAAAGTAAAGAAAACAAAATGTTTTTACTTTTCAAAAGAAAATTCTTTCTGGAAAAACGTACTGCAACAATGTCGCCATGTCGCTGCGATTCTGCCCCAGGGTGTACAGTGAGTGGAAACCTTTCAAATTAAGGTAAAAAGATTACGCAAGAATAGAAATAAGTGGAGTATATACCTACATGAGATAATATGTTTCATATAATTAAAATATATTTAAATACATATTTTAATTATTTAAAATTCCCATTAAATTAGGTAGTAAAATAAAATAAATATCCTTTGAATTCCCATCGTTCTTTTTCACAGCCTTTATGAAGGGATTGAGCAATAGATGATTCCATTAGATCCACATAACGGACTACTTGGGGAGCAAATGTAAGTTGTTGATGGAACCTCCCTCCGCATAAGTTTTCTGAAGAAAAGTGGTGCTTAAATGAAAAATGCACATAATATACTAATAAGCAACATTAGGATGCTGAAGATACATGCAGTGGGTGGGTGGATTATTCATGTTTTAGCCATTTTTTAGATTTTTTCCACTTTATAATAATTTTCTTATGTATTGTAAATAATATTACTTTTAAGATCATTTCTGTAGTAAGTTTTTTCTTTGCGATTATTAGTGTAAATATTGTATTAAATCTTGTTATTATTTTAAATATTCTCCAATAACAAGTTTTGATGTTGAACAGAGGCATTCTTTCAATTTTAAGAAAGTTAAATATTGAATTTTTACATGTGATGTATATATAAAAACATGGTTAAAAATATAATTGATTACTATCTTCACTGGAAAACAATCCCAAGTATTTGGAGGCTGTTCAGCTAAAAGTGTGTGCATATCAACAGCTAACAATGACCAGAAGATCTCCACGGGTTCGACCATGCAAAAGTCTGTAAAATTTATTTAACAGCTATCCTAATCATACCTAATGAATATTTCTGTCATCAAAAATTATACAGAAAAAAGTTTTTTCACTAAATAACAAGAGTANAAAAAAGTTATTTCACTAAATAACAAGATAAATCTAAAAATTTTGTGAATGGCATTTACGAATATTTCAAAAGTAACAAGAGTAAAAAATGCAATTCTATGCATACACACATGAGATGGCTGATAGAAAGGAGAGTAAGAAGAAGTTTTGTTTGAGCAGTGAAACATATCTACTATTCTAAGTGTATGTCTAAGAAATGCATTACATGTAGACCTAGAATCCATATTCAATTGATTTAACCTTTAAACATTTCAGAGAAGGAAAGGAAACCATACTGATGACAAGTCATATTAGGGGGGACCATAAAGAGATGTGGCGATTCCAGGTATGTGACATTTTAACATATGCTTGTGAAACCTAGACCACGTCTTGTACAGATGAGGCTATGTTGGGTACCTCTGAGAGAAAGGTCTTGAGAGGTGCTTTATCTCTCATATAATGAATCTGACGTTATTAACTTTATTAAAGGACAAAGAATAAAATGGGCAGGCCATGTTATCAAAATGGACGAAGAGCATACCACAAAAAGAGCTTTTAATGTCAGACCAATTGGCATGTGAAAAAGAGGCAGGCCGAATTTGAGACGGATGACATAGAAAAAGACTTTTTGGTCTTAAAAACTTAAACTGGAAAAAGGTTAGCCTGGAAAAAACTTCTTGAGAAGGCCAAGGCCCACCCTTGGCTGTTGAGCCACCGATGATTCATTGAAAAAGTGGGAACATTTGTAGAACAGGAAGGAGTGTTACCAGAAATAAAAGGGTTCGGTGCAGAAGATGAGGGAATAATCAAATTAGGCGAGAAAGTGTAGGTGAGATGTATCTGGAAGATGTAGATGAGAAGAGAGTACGTCCTACATCCAAAGTTCTGTTATTATATATGACGTTTAAAATTTTGGCTTTTACTTTCATTTTCACGCTATGCCTCAGCCTTTTGAGGCTAGATATTAAAGACATGGCAAGGTCATAGTCTTTCTCTTCTTTTTTCGCTTTTAAGAGTTCTTATACCGCCCTTTCAGAAGTGTCCATCTCCAGCTTTCTTTTTTTTTCCCTCAGAGGAAATTGGTATTTCTGATGAGTCATCATTTCTTTCCTCTTTTTCACCATTGGGAATGTTGGATATTGTTTTCGACGCTAAAACGGTTATCAGAAAAAGCAGATCTGAAAAATACGGGCTTTTCTTCCTATGTCTGCCACCATCAAAAGAATGATTCTCCGTTTGGTCCCTCAACTCTTTAATGAAGGAATTCCTTAAGCAATTCCACCTTTCTGAATTTCCATGCCTGTAAGAATTACGAAAAATATATTTGCAGGGTGCCAGCCAATTTTTTCAACAAAAAATAAGCACTTTTAAAGCACTCAAAAAATATTTTTAAACCCTATGTACATTAACAAAATACAAACAAATTTTCTAAGATTTTACATGATCATGATAAAACAACTAGTTTCTAACAAAGAATTCTTTTCTAGATTATATTAGCTACCATAAGAAATTTTTTGAAAGATTTTTCAGTTCGATTTCAGAGTGTGGAAAATGAAGCCTGAAGCTGAGAATAACTTGCAGAATGCAGTAGAGTAGCACATGACAACACAATGATCTCGCCAAATTCATCAAATATGTATAATGATTGGCGCTTTCATTCGCTATGGAACGACAGTTGGCTGAAATGGACTGGGGTCGAATGAATTATAAAAACGCTGAATAGAATAATGTGAAAAATATATAATATAAAATTGTTTACATTATTTTTATATTGAAAGAAATTAATTGTACGTTGGTATCAGTTACTTATACATACAACATTGAATTTATCAATATCATGAAAATTCTTGTTAATGATAGGAGGTTCATTCATTTCATTTAGTACCAGAATATAGACAAAACTTGCCCTAATATTGACAAAACATATACATTTCAGAATTAATATAGCTATAAATCTTTTGTAAAATTAATAATGTTATTTATGTGTTACGCTATTGTTTTTGGAATGTGAGATATGTTGGACAAACTAGTAACTCCAGGGTATCTGCTACATTTTAGATTTTTAAATCCATGACTAATTCCAAGAATTTTTCATGACTTAACAAAGTTACTTTTTCCTCCCGACAAAAAAACAACGATAAATTAAAAAAAACATTATAATAACATTAACTGAAATCATAAATATTAAATTTAAAAAAACAGAGTAAAGAAAGAGTTGAAGCAATAAAATAGCAGAAAAAATACAAAAGCAAATATTTTTTTTCTTTTTATCCCCAGAATTATATTCTAAAGAAACTCTTCTTGTTCATCGGAAAGGAAAGAAACACTCCTGATTTTTCTGCTCTCATTTCAGAATTTAAAAAAATTCACCAATGGCTGGCTTGCTTCAGCTAGATTTTTAAATTGATAAAATAAAAAAATTAAATAATAATAAATATTCTGAAATCACAGAAGTTTAAAAGATAATTCGTTCTAGAAATTATGTTTTTTCTTTCTTTTTCTCAAAGAACACCATAATTTTTAAAGAACATGATAAAAACATTTTATGTTTTAATAAAATATGACTGCGAATTGGGATTTTGTTAGAAACTCAGATATTCAGAACACCATAAAATTGGGGGGATTCCATTTTAAAAATTAGATTTTTCGGCAACCTAAATCCATGACTATACATGATTTTTTTAAAGAAAATAGTTAAAATCCTGACATTTTATGACAAATTTTGTTCAATACCGAAGTTCATGATTCTCCATAATTTTCCAGGTGCGAGGTGTAACTCTCTTAATATTAGAATTAATAAGCATCGTAAAGATATAAACTAATGAAATGATCAATAACTTAGAATTGAATCATTAGAGAATCATCTTTTTTTCATTGCATCATATATTTTTTTCCAGTTTCTCTACAGAATTACAGTATAACTCGGATTCCCTAACAACAAATTTATATAAAAAATAGAATAATTATATATAATTAGAATAATTAATTATTCAAATCATGAACAATTTCTTTACAGATGAGCAAGATTGAGTAAATTTTTTTAACAGTAAAATTCACAGAATATTAACTAACATGATGAAAACTAGTTTGTACTGCAAAAAAAACAGATCTGATCAAATACATAAAGAGCAAATACAGAGGGTGTTAATTTTACAGTGAGAGAAATAAACAATAAAATATATTAACCTGTTAATATAAGACACCAACATATCACATGCCATGAGTTTTAATCTTTGTTCCAAATGTTTGGCAAAAACTTCATCAGGCCAATGCAGGTCCCGGATGAAAGATTGTAATGCATCTAGTTTCCAAAAAAGATCTTCAGAAGTAATGCATCCATGCCTACAAGACGAAGATGAAAATGCAAAACCACAAATCAATGAAATAACTATTATTACAACACAACATTTGAATTTATTAATCAGGGGTATGTCTAGGTTTTTTTAGAGGTATTTTGTGAAAATTCAGACATAATCAGTGAAAAATTAAAAATTATATTAAGAAACCAACACAAAAATATGTGAAAGAAAGAAAATATTTTTAAAAATTGTCAACAAATAAAAATCATTTGACTCGTAAATTTCTATATATTTTTCCATATATATTCAAAAATAATTTTACTGTTGGAAATTTTGTGTTTAAATTTGTATCCAAATTTAAAAATCCATAAAAATCATGGTCTATAACTAAATTTCAACTTGAATTTAATGAAAACATGCATTTAACAATACTAGCACTAAAAGTTATTTTTACTGAGAACATTTTTGATTAGGTCAAACAGAAAAAAGTTTCCCAGGGAAAAGATGTTTCATAGAAAATAAAGGTATGTTAGAATAAATTTACAATAGTGATTAAGGTTATGTTAAAATGTTTAGAATAACGTTTGAATTTCGACTTCTTGTACAGTTTATATAGGAAGAATTGCCATGTTTCATTAAAAAAAAACTGTGCAAGAAAAGAAGCTCGCTTTGATATGGCGTAAGCGACCGGCATACCACATTGCAGTATCTGACCAAACACGAACTACCTTTTTGTAAAAGACTGGTGACTGTAAAGCTCCTATCTTCCATAGATTGCAATGAGAACGGAGTTTGCATGAGAGCTTGCCTTCTTAAAAGTATTTTGCGAAACTAACGTTTTTCCAAACTTGAATTTGTGATGGAACCACTAAAAGGTAGTAAATTTACCCTGCACAGACCCCTGTTAATAGAGATCAATTGCACACAGCATTTTAGGATACATATGTAAAATTCAGGTTTCTTCCTTACAATGCAATTAATTTGAGAAAAAAAATGAACAACAAATTTTATAATATTCTTGTAGTAAATGGTCGATTTGTTTTGCCAAGCTGATTTACAGTGTGAGTTTTGAGAAGTCACTCTCTCCAGACTAACACTATTTTCCTATTATTTCCTAAGTCCTCTTAAAAAAGAAGATTATCTCCCACAAGAATTATAGCTGTGATAGAATTCAATGAATGGATACCACTAGTTGATTCATTGCGATTTTGTGAGAAGCTGGGAGAGCTGTGTTAAGATCACCATACTTTGGAGTGCTGACTTGANTGGTAGATACACCACAGAGTCAAACAAAAAATTTATGTTTAATAGATTCATTATTAATGTCAGAAACACAATATGAATTAGATTAAAAAATTGTATTATCTTAATGCTTTAAGAAATATAATTTGAGTAAAATAAAGTGGTATTATTATTAATTAGAACTATATTTATTAAAAATTTATTTTAAAAAAGAACAGTATAATTTTTTTTAATTGAATATGTAATAGTTTTTTATATTAATATTATGAGTGATATTCTATCATTTTTTTAGGGGGGGGGGGACGCACAAATTATTTTCTTCGTATTTTGTAAATAATCATCAGAATAAAAAAATTTAAAACCATGAAATCCATAGTAGTAATTGCAACAAAAAAAAGAAAGAAAGAAATTCGGCAACGAAATTACATGACTTGAACTCCACAAATTTGTTTTTAGCTCTCAGATTAGGTTATTGTAATAAATAATATCATAAAAAAAGCAGTTTTAAAAACAACAGAAAAGTCAAAAGTCAAAAATTCAGTAGAATTATTGCTTTGAAAAGTAAATACTCAACTGCATGATTCGAATTTTCCACATCTTTTGAAATATATCGGGATATTCAAAAACCATGTGAGAATCAATAACTGCCGAAATATAACTTCGATTTACGATACGATCAGCGTAAATTGAGAGCATCGAAAAATGATTATCTAAATGCACGAGTCAAACCATTACATGCAAATTTCGGCACAAAAGTAAAGTAAAGAAAAAAAGAAAACAAAATGTTTTTACTTTTCAAAAGAAAATTCTTTCTGGAAAAACTCTAACGTACTGCAACAATGTCGCTGCGATTCTGCCACAGGGTGTACAGTGAGTGGAAACCTTTCAAATTAAGCTAAAAAGATTATGCAAGAATAGAAGATACACGAGATAATATATTTCATATAATTAAAATATATTTAAATACATATTTTAATTATTTAAAATTCCCACTAAATTAGGTAGTAAAATAAAATAAATATTAATACCCTTTGAATTCCCATCGTTCTTTTTCACAGCCTTTATGAAGGGATTGAGCAATAGATGATTCCATTAGATCCACATAACGGACTACTTGGAGAGCAAATGTAAGTTGTTGATGGAACCTCCCTCCGCATAAGTTTTCTGAAGAAAAGTGGTGCTTAAGTGAAAAATGCACATAATATACTAATAAGCAACATTAGGATGCTGAAGATACATGCAGTGGGTGGGTGGATTATTCATGTTTTAGCCATTTTTTAGATTTTTTCCACTTAATAATAATTTCCTTATGTATTGTAAATAATATTACTTTTAAGAACATTTTTCTTTGTGATTATTAGTGTAAATATTGCATTAAATCTTGTTATTATTTTAAACATTCTCCAATAACAAATTTTGATGTTGAACAGAGGCATTCTTTCAATTTTAAGAAAGTTAACTACTGAATTTTAACATGTGATGTATATATAAAAACATGGTTAAAAATATAATTGATTACCATCTTCACTGGAAAACAATCCCATGTATCTGGAGGCTGTTCAGCTAAAAGTGTGTCCATATGAACAGCTAACAACGACCAGAAGATCTCCACGTGTTCAACCATGCAAAAGTCTGTAAAATTTATTTAACAGCTATCCTAATCATACCTGATGAATATTTCTGTCATCAAAAATTATACAGAAAAAAGTTTTTTCACTAAATAACAAGAGTAAAAAATGCAATTTTATGCATACACACATGAGATGGCTGATAGAAAGGAGAGTAAGAAGAAGTTTTGTTTGAGCAATGAAACATATCTACTACTCTAAGTGTATGTCTAAGAAATGCATTACATGTAGACCTAGAATCCATATTCAATTGATTTAAACTTTAAACATTTCAGAGAGGGAAAGGAAACCATACTGATGACAAGTCATATTAGGGAGGACTATAAAGAGATGTGACGATTCCAGGTATGCGACATATGCTGATGATCACTTATAAACATTGAAAGATTCTGGAATTAAATAACAATAAGGGACAGTGTTAGTAGATCATTCGCAGAGGTTTCAGCAAATGCATAATGCTTTCTCATTTTATCCCGCACTCACTGAAGACAAATAACATTTAACATAGAAAAGGCCTTTGAAGACTCCCTGAAGACAAGTTGCACCCTCTTTTGATTTAATGTAAAAAAGGCTTTTGAGGACTCATTTAAGGACAGTAACATTAATTCATTGCAAAAAGAGCCTTCACCGTCTCAGTTTGTGCAAGTGTTTCGTGACTAACTGATTTTGTCTTGAGCGTAATCAAAAATGTTTTAATTTACCCTTCCATTCAACAAACCTTTTAAATGCACTTTCTATTTATTTTACGTGTATTCATTGAGTCAACTTAATTCAAATCGGATCCCTAACATTGCATCAATAATTAAACTGATTCAAATTCTTATCAGAAACATTAAATAAAAGAGCAAAGCAAGTTGAAGCTTTCTATAAGGTTCTATAAGCGAAGTGCTGATTATATAAATGAATAAAGTTAATTAAATATAAAACTGTTATACATAGCACAATTTAATTTTGAAACGTTACATTAATTTCCGAAAGTTGAATTTAATTTTTAGCAGTCAATTATTAACTGGTCACCAAATTGAATTGTGAAGAAAAAAGTATGGACATGTTTTGGTTTCAGATAGTGAAAATGCTGGATTATAATCATTCTGCAATTTTTTTTTCTGAATCTTTAAAATGTTTTCGATTATAAGATTTTAAGAGAACAAATATCAATCTGTTCTAGAAACAAATGCTATTTTTTGTGCTTCTTGTCAACTTTTTGATTGATAAACAAATTAAAAGAGATAGAAACATTTTATACCACAAGAAGTCTGCAAATATGAAGAAGAAAAAATTCTAAACAAAAAAAAATTCTGAAAATTCTACAACAGGCCAATAAGCTTTTTCAGTAAACATTCAATTTGTTTCACTTTTAAATGTACACAACTTTTATTGACTCTATACTATTTGCACAACTTTTCACCTTGACTTTAACTATTAACAATTTTCAAAGTCACTGAATTTGGTACAGAGTAAGATAAAATTTAAAGCAAGCACTTTTTAGCAATTTAGAAGCTGTTTTAGTACAAATAGTTTCAAAAACCAAACAAAAACATTCACACATTTTCTTTTCAAATCTGCTACAAAACAGTTTAAACTAACTTAAGAGAGAATAAGTCAGGAAACATTTTCTATAATATTGAGAAAAAACATCTTCTAAGATACCAAATAAAAAAACCGGAAGTTTCATATTTTCTACAAAATCCAAAACTTTCTTGAGAAAAAAAAAGAAAATCTAATATAGACAACCCTGTAAAATTATTATTATTCATATTGCTCTTTTAAGAATTAAGATTTGTAGAAGAAGAGAAAAACTTTAAAAATGAATTATAACCATAAATATAACCAGAGAAATATTAAACCCAGTTTAAAAAACATAAATTTTTTTAAACAAGTGAAACCAAAGCCCACAGAACTTCAGATCCTTATCATAAAAAAAAAACTCAATGAAGTGTCATTTGAGGTCATTGCTATTATTGAATTTTTTCAAAATAAATGATATTCTGATGATATAAGGTGGCAGATGTATGGGAGATTTAAAATCGCTAAGAAATCCTGTTCAATACGATAATGCAAGGCCTCACACATTTTCAGTAATATGTACAAAATTATAGCAGCTTGGTTGGGAGGTAATGTTGCATTCCCCATATAGCCCTGATTTCGCATTATCATTTAATATTTAGATCATTTATCATTTCTTGATCACCATTTTTACAAAATTTTTAAAAACTTAATAATAAAAATTACCTTAAATCACATAAAATTCTGATAAAATTACCATTCTATGACAAATGACATTTCTAGTTTAAAAAAATACTGATCAGGACCTGATGTTATATGAACTCTGGACCATGAAAAGATTAAATATANATTTATATCATTTATCATTTCTTGATCACCATTTTTACAAAATTTTTAAAAATTTAATAATAAAAATTACCTTAAATCACATAAAATTCTGATAAAATGACCATTCTATGACAAATGACATTTCTAGTTTAAAAAAATACTGATCAGGACCTGATGTTATATGAGCTCTGGACCTTGAAAAGATTAAATATAACAAGATGGTGAAAATCAAAAAGTATGAAAGATTTTATTCTAATTTTATTTTTTACATAGAAAGAGTTTATTTCACTCTAAAACACCGAAATTATTTTCCAGCCAACCCAATAGCGAAATAATAGTTTTAAGGGGTTCCAAGAATTTTCGCCGAGTCTTTTTTTCTTTTTTTAATGTGGGCCGCTAGAATTCAGGTATTATAAAAAAAAGTTGGGCCATAGTTTAAAAACTTTCTAGGTTATAAAATGTGCTTCATACAAGTAAACGATAAAAATCTGCTTCTAATAAAAGGTCTATTAAAAAGCTTATATCATTGTTTTAAACTCTAAAATAATTTTAATATATTAAGTATAGTCTTTATTTAACTTTATTAAAAATTATAACTTAAGTTTAAATTAGGTTATGAGAAACTACAAAAATAATAGAATCTTCTAAAGAAAAGTTATATTAAAACCACAAAATTTAAGAACAATATTTTAAAACTGCTACAATTTATTTAACTAATTTTATTTTAATATTTCAACAAAATCCAGGCAATGTCAGAAGTTTAGAATGTCTCACGTTGTAGGGGGTAACAAATGTGTTACTTGCCTCTTCTTTTTTTCCTTTAAGTGAAGTTTCTTTCATTGTTATTACTCTTCTTATATTTTAAAGTAAAAAATTAATTTGACTAAAAATATTTATTTGATTATAAATTATGCATTGTAAATTGATTTGAACTAAACTAAAAAACTAAAAAACAAACCATTGAACTTATAAATGGAGAAATAGATACTAGGTTCTCAAAATTTATATGACTAGATTATACCAGATTAACAACACATTCCTACTAGATTAACAACATGTGATTCACATTTCTCCAATAAAAGCATTTTTTTAGTTCAACAAGTTCAGAATAAAATTCATTATCAATTTATTTTGTCACTACTGAAAAAGCTAATCTACAAAGTGTGTATGGCCTATAAAAAATTATTAGGTATAATCGAAGCAAGTACACAAAAGAAATGCTAAGTCAAATATTAGGACATACTCACCATCATTGAAAACCTTTTAGAAAAAATTACAAAACCAGTGTACTATTAACACAGTAAGACAGATATTATATACACTATGTGTTCTAAATTAGACTGATTGTATTCAAAAGTTTTAAAGTTCCAAAACTTATAAGAAGAAAAAGTTTATAATAATCAAACAATTTAATCAAGTTAAACAATTTAATTTATATGTAGATACCCTGTATATTTGAACTTTGGCAACTTCGTATACAAAAGTGCAACTAGTCATTTTTAGGTAGCTGGAAAAAAAGGAAATGAATATGTTGGGAACCACTGAAACTGGTTTCTAGCATTCAATCTTAGCACTCAATCTTAATGGTTCAAGGAAGTGACCTCAAATATGCTAACTAATTAGTACAGACGATATTTTAAGTTATGAAATTAGACACAGAAATGTACTTTCTCTAAATAAACATGCCTTTTTTATTTCTGATCCTTAAAATACAGAGGATAGCTGCAATCTAGAAAACACGATCCTCATAGTTTGGTGAGGAGAGTGGTCCAAAATTTGGACCCCTTAATNGTACAGACGATATTTTAAGTTATGAAATCAGACACAGAAATGTACTTTCTCTAAATAAACATGCCTTTTTTATTTCTGATCCTTAAAATACAGAGGATAGCTGCAATCTAGAAAACACAATCCCCATAGTTTGGTGAGAAGAGTGGTCCAAAATTTGGACCCCTTAATTTAAATTATACTTTTTGTGTATTTTGCCTATCTTGAGAAATTCCAAAGCAAATTGAAAAAAACCTTGCACACAATTATAAAATGTGTTTATCCAAAGATAATTCCACGAAAAAAAGAACTTTTAATAAATATTTTTAAAAAAATTCTTATTTTATATAATATTAGCCAAAAAAATTTTAAATTGTAAGATATGCAATTTCTTACATCAACTTATAGAATGTAATTTTACATTACAAAATACAAAATTTCAGCAAAATTGGTTGAATAGTTCATGAAAAACAGAATTTTAAACATCTGGCTTTTTTTAAATTCCATTTCTCATGAACAATTAAACCAATTTTGGTCAAATTTTGTAATNTGGTTGAATAGTTCATGAAAAACAGAATTTTAAACATCTGGCTTTTTTAAAATTCACGGCTACAAACACGTAAGATAGTCCTTAATTAACATTAAAAGTACAATACAACACAAAATGTTGCACCTAATACTACCAACAATTCAATTCTATGACTACGAGTAGAAATGAATTTGCAAGAGCCATATTTCTCCCACTATAAAGGGAATAAAAGGTACAATTAAATTAAAAGTTAAAACTGTTTTACTGTGTTATTAAAGACTGTTTCATAGAAAGAATTGAAAACAGAAAAGTTGAAAGGTAGAAAACTAATAAATTTGTTAAAACATAAAAAATATTGATTTATTTAAACAGATTAAGAAGTTAGAAGTAAGAGGTAGTGAAACTAAAA